AGGAGACATAATTTTCCACAATTAAACATTTATTTACTTTAATGTGTACAGGAATTTTTTAGCAGCTTCTGAAAAGCTTTTTGAACTTTTAAAAGTTTAATATAAACTTTTTAGATAGTTTTGCGATAAAGAATTAAGGCGGTATTTTTTAGTAAATTAGGTTTTGGCGCATAGTTGAAACAAATTTGAGCAAAACAATCATTCAGCCTACAAAAAAAGTGGAATGCCCCTTTAAGAACTTGTTTTGTATGCAAATATTATGTATGTACATACAAGCATATCAAGTCAGTATATTTGTAAGCTTGTATTGTGTACATTTTTTATGCATATTCTTAACTGTAAGAACTTGTAACCTGTCAAGTTTAAAAGTAATTCTAATTTTGTCTTTACAATGAAATACAGATCTTAACTAAAAATTGTGGTTAGCATTTGTAATTTTCTTGTAATCGTTAATCCAATGTTAGACACATTGACAGTAGAGGATTAAAGCCAATTATCTTTTTCTACATGATCTGATTTTATATCAGCTAATAGTATGACCACAAGTAAATAGTTCATCATAGAATCTTTCACTGCCACACACAGAGATTCCTGTGTTTGGTGATCAGACTTTGGTTGTTTTGTGACCTTCAACACATTTTGCATGTTCAGTGTTCACAATGTGATTTCGTGATTATTAAAAGGATTGTAAAGAGGTTTTCTATATTTTTTATGTGTATCATGGACATTGATAGGAACCACTGACATCTGACTTAAAATTGGAATAGTACAAATTAATTCTATCAGTGTCTCTGAAACAGATAAAAAATTTAAGAAAACTTCTTTAATAATCTCTACAAGACAAATTTAAAATGTTCTTTTAAATAAATATCATGTTAAATAGTGTAATAGTAGTGATCGAAATATGATATAAACCCACAAAAAGTAATATACATTACTTACAAACTGATCCTCGTTAATCTGTGACAAAAAATACAATATTTGATAATATAATTGGTAAACAACGGTTACAATTCCTATCATTTACATGTTCAAGGTGTGTAAATAGTATCTTGAATCAAAACACAATCAAATATATTTCTACTATAACATTTAACTATATAAAAATATATAAATGTCTAGATATAAATGCATTAATGGAAATCATTCCTTTCATTTATCTGTGGGAACCGTGATGTCTCAGTGAGTTAGACGCTTACTCGATAACCTGAAGGTCCAGGGTTCAATCCCGGCATAGGTCGAGATAATACCTTCTGATTTTTCAACCCGGTTTCCCCCTGTCAGTGATACAGGTACGAGGGGCTGACATGGAAAAAGCGTTTGGTTATTCGGATGGGACAATAAACCAAGGCCCCATGTGCTATAGGCTGTGCACGTTAAAGATCCCTCGACAATTGGAAATCAAAAAAAGAGCAGGCTAATGCCGCTGTCCTGGCAAAATTTCCGTCATTGCACCCTGCATGGTGTTGTCCGTCTTCAATAGGCCACATGGTGCAGAAAAGTAGGAGGTAACACTCCATTCATTTCATTTCATTTATCTGTAGCAATCTTTTCAGAATTCAAATTTAATATCTGGTCCTTCTGGTATCATTCAATAAAAAGGAATACCTACATTTCTAAACAAAAATTGTCCATGCTGTTAACAATGTCATGTATGCTGTTATTACAAATAATACAATAACATCAAAAGTTCACCTGAAAGATGGAATTTACTATAAATATTTTGTAAAAAGTTGATATTCTGAAATTTCTGTATTTTGATTAATGTGTTAGAATATCATTATGTATGATTTTTGCCTCAAGAGACTGAGGAGAGATGGATTCAAAAGGAATGAAGAATATTAAAATATGGAATGAAACCAGATAGCACTACCATATCAAGAGCATAAATTTTACTAAACATAAAACGATATATTTCCAGCCTATTCCTATATGATGGAAAAACCTGATGCTAATCAGGAATATATCCATTTTGCTTGAATAATTGCGTTAATGTGTGGAGTAACAGATCAGTAGACCAATTTCATATTTTTAAAAATTTCTTTAAAAAAACTAATTCCACTTGAATTGTGCGATCAAAAATTTGGGTAGACTTTCAACTAGTTGAAATTTATTTTATCCATGCAACATTGAATATTCTCTTGAGAGATCTTCGAATACAGTCTCAGAATACAGCTTCTGCTTCATTTGGTTCTTTCAGGAATTGAAAATTTATTATTTATGATATTTTCCTTAAACTTCAAACTGTTAGTCTAAAATGCAATTAAATTTGATATGGAAATGAATTTGGAAACTCATGCTATTTGGTCTCCCACTGTCATTACCAGTAATTGGTGATAAATATTGTCAAAATTCATTTCAAGATATGATCAGTTCTGGTCTACGCCCTCAGGGATCAGAACATCATTAATTTATTGTTTACAGTATCTAAAGTTTGAAGCTCAATTTAACATATATATCTGATATATCTTGGGTGACAAGACCACCATTAAAGTTCATTTCCGAGTCATTTATCTAAAACCATTAATACTCAGAATATAAAAGCAATGGATACAATGTTTGTGTCATTTTGCTTTGCTAGTTAATTTTGATTTAACACCTATTTCCTTTACCTTAGTTGAGGGAATGGCAGTGGCTCAGTAAGTTAGACGCTTGCACTCTAACCTGAAGGTCCAGTGTTCAATCCTGTCATAGGTCGAGATAATACCTTCGGATTTTTCAACCCAGTTTCCCCTGCCTGTGATGCAGGTAAGGAAACTGTCGCCATTGAAAAAGCATCTAGTCGTTTTGATGGGACAATAAACTGAGGCCCCATGTGCTTCAGGCTGTGCACTTTAAAGATCCCTCGACAGTTGGAAATCTAAAAAGAGCAGGCTAATGCTGCGATCTTGGCAAAATTTCCCTCATTGCACCCTGCATAGCATCCCCATCTTCATTAGCCAAAATGGTGCAGAAAAGTAGGACGTAAAACACCATTCATTTCATTTCCTAACCTTAGTTGTCTTATTCATGACAAATTTTTATCTTGTGTTGGCAGTGGACGGCATAGGATGCATGTGCATGAAATATTTTAAAAATTTTCTTTACATAGCAATCAAACAGTACAGTAAGGATGTTTTTAGCCAGTTTGCTCTGTTACGGAGGGCTCTTGTGGTCAAGAGTGTACCATTTTAGCACATTTTCCTTTTGTCAGTAATGCAGTTTGGAAGGACTGAAGTGTTAAAAGTGTCTTTTTGTTTGGAATAGTGTCTTGGTAATATTTTTCTCATTGTCCACTACCTGGTGTAGCCTGTCGTCATTAGTTCAATTAGTAGTAGAAAAGAAAGACTTTATCATTTCAAAAATATATTTTAAGGAGTACCATTTTCATTCACTTCAAACATGGTTTGCTGTGTATAAATACTGTTTAATATTTAATATAGAAATCAGTAAATATTTTTAAGATTGTTTATAAATGTGTTTATAAAAAGTTCAGTTGATCACATCTGGTTGTAGAAGATTATTGGGCAGATGATAGTAATAAACAGTTGTATAGATTATACTTTACTGATATTTATACAGATCATAGTTGGCCTGCTCCTTAAAGGTCAAATTATGATGACCTGAGATTCAGGAAATGCTCTTCCTGACTATTTATGTTGAATAACTTACAGACTGATAGTAATTTATAGTTAGGCCTAATATTTATTAATGTCTTACCATCTTATTACAAAATTTTTCTTCCTGCTTGACAGGGTTCAATTTAAGCGGTATCGCATCAGTTTGCGATTCAAAATGACCACATGCTCATTTGAGACAAACATATACGTGTTATATATGAAGATGAAGATAATAAAACAACTCACAAAGAAGAAAAATAAAAAAAACTTTACTTAATGTACATAGTGTATAAAATAAAACGAAAAAAAAAACCACCCATAACACAATGTACAACTTACCCAGAATTTTGATGCATAAATTGGCAAGTACACACAAGTAATAATTAAGTATGAGATGGACAGAATATTTTGTGTTCAAGTACCTTACCACCTGAGGTACATTATTTTCTCTTATAAGAATAGATACAGGTAATGAATTCAAAGTATGAATTATGACACTTTATAAGCCAGTGATGTGTTTAAAAGGTATTCCTTATTCCAAAGTTATCATCAAAAATTTCATATTATAAAAGATTTTAGAAGTAATTTATTTTTATTTATAGCTTTAGCTATAGCATCAAAGTTGATGAGCATTACAAAAGTAAACCATTAATTATAAAATATAATGAGGTTGTGAGTTTATATAATTAATAGAATTAATATCATATTAAATGAATTGAAGTGTATCATATAAATCTATTAAAACTCAATGAGCATGATATTCAATGGTATGTTTTGATTAAATATCCTATATCTATTATCAACAAAATTTCTTATTCCATGTTTAAAACGCAGAATATGTTTTTTCAAATGATATAACGTGATTTTGAAAAAAAAAACTTATTATGGTTTCTGTCCTTGTTGTCACTTTCAATCTTTACTAACTGAAAAGAGCTCAACTGTCAGTATCATTTTTAAGAATCAAAACTTAATGTAAAAATTTAGGCTGTAAATACTTGGAGTACTTCTCTTTGGTAGAACAGTGGTCTGTTTTTGCTCAATTGCAGGAGAATTATGTTCTGAAAATTGATCTACTCATATAGTAAGCTGGTGACAAATAAAAAAAACATGATACTTGATAGCAACCATATAGATCAGTATTTCCCTTCAAAAAATGAAAAAAATTCATACTTGTTCCCAAAACTTATATATGTCTTTCCTAAAATTGGAAAAGAATTAACTTGTATTGTTTATATTTATTTCATAATAAATGGTTATTGTTTTGTATATTTCTAGAGTGGAAGTCAACAGAATGGTTACTCCAATCTAAATGATGATGCTGACAGTGTAAAAGGTCCTCTAGATAATAATTTACATATCGACGAGGAACTACAAAATGACCAAACCTCTCAGGAAGTAAAATATAAACCTAAATGTAAAATAAGTGGTAAAGATGCTCAGTCAGCGTTAGAAAGAGCTAAAACAGAGAAATGTCGTCAAGAGATAGCCGATGTTGTCTGTTTGGATCAAGAACAGAAACTCTATGTTAAGAAATTACCCAGATCATGTCCTGTAGAAGGTGAGTTACATTTCTCTTGTTTTATGTGTAAGGTACCGGTACTTTAGATCATTGACATAAGAAACATCATTGTCTAGGGGTACATCCTAGATATACGATGCATCATTGACATTGGATGCATAATTGACACAAGTCAAAAGATGCATCATTAACATCAGATATTACATAGAAAACATACCAAATATACATAAAGTGCATCATTGAGATAGGATACATAATTGACATAAGATACATCATTGACATAAGATAACACTTGACATAAGATATATATTTGACATAGGATACATCATTGTAATAGTATGATATTGACATAAGATACACCATGGACATAACGACATTTACAGAAGAAACATCATTGTCTAAAGGTACATTAAAGATATATACCATGCATCATTGACATCAGATATTACATAGAAAACATACCTAATATACATAAGATGCATCATTGAGATAGGATACATAATTGACATAAGATACCTTATTGACATAAGATACCTTATTGACATAAGATGCATTATCAGGATAGTTGACATAGGATACATCATTTACATAGGATGCAACATATGAAACATCGTGCAGTTTAGATGAGTAAAAAATTTAATGCTGCAGTGGCATTAATATGGCATTGATAATGTCTCCTATAGGCAACTCAGGGTTGTATATGCATTTTTGGTCTAGGCACTGACCAGCTATTTAATACAATAATAACAAATGTTATTGTCATTATCGTGCTATAAATTTCTTTTTAACACAGGTTTGATATTTTGAAAATGTGCTAAATTAACAAAATGCATTATAATGTTGTATGATTAAAGTCTATTCTATTTATAAATTCCCTTTGTAAACCAGAAACGTATCATAATTTCTGCAGAATAAGCTAATAACTTGTCAAGTCAATACAGACCATTTAACACCCACACCCACAAACTATTTATATTTCAAAATAATAGAATCATCTGTCAATAATGTCTAGAACTAAATACCATCTCCAATGGGATAGGGGTGATTACTAACCTTTTTAATAACTTGTTTTTTTCTTTTGCTTGGTTAAAAATCTCTTTAATACGTAATGGTGTTATTAGACAGCTGACCTATTTCAGCCTGCTTCCCTACTGAAGTTGGACAAGTACCAGTAGAACTCATTCTCATGTCTGCATTTTGAGACCAGTTCAGAACATTTGTTTATTATGGTGTTATTAAAAATGTGTTAGAACCGCACTCTCTTCATATCTATAATAAAATGGTCTAATGTGTTCTCTATAATAGATGTCACAAAAAACTTATATTTTGAGAAATATAACCAAGAAATTTATAGTTGATAAGGCTGGCGCACATTTACCTTTTTTTTGACGTGACGCAGTACTATTTTTCAATAGTCCAATTATCAGGTTGTAAAGTCAGCACAGACTTACAGATTTTTTATCACCACTGAGTTGCCTCAGTCGCTTTTCTGTAGAGCTACCGAAAACAATATATCATTGAGAAGTGAGCATGTGATACCTACATTAACTTCTATTGGTTGACCTTTAACTAGGTCAGGACAATATATTGGGAATACCTTCACACTTCAAGACAAGGGACGTCTCCCAATTACTCCCAATTTTGTCATAGGCCTGTGGTAGACCAACGCACACTGGCCAATTTTTCAACTTACAAACTGGATCTTCGAAATTGATAAGGATTGCTCGAATTCAGCTTGATCATCTATTTTAGACAACCTTAAATCCTTTTAATACAACGTCATAATGGAATGATATTAAATGATTTTTTTCCCCAAACAAAAATTGTGAATGTATATTGGAATCACCTTAAAATCCTATCTGGAGCATCATGTGGTAAAACTTGTTCTTTGATGTTAATAATCAGTTGATAATTTAACAATAGTCACAGGGATGTATATATCATATATTAACTGAATTCCCATTATGTCCAGACAGTCAGATGAACAATGTTAAACTTTAACTCAATAATTCAAGATTTTCATTCTCTCAAGAGATTTTTTCAAACTAATATATGTTACTGATATAATAAGGTTATTGGAAAATGTGTTGATTTGTCTGCATCTTATTTAAAAATCAAAAAAAAAAGGCCAGAGTATTTGTAAGTAAAATCCTTTAAGCATCGTCAGATGTGGAAGAAATCTTATCATTGAATGTAATAGTTGAATCTACTTTGTTTTATGTACCAAGTTGGTCATTTAGAAAATTGTAAGTATGTCTGTACCAATTTGCTACACAAATTTATTTAAGCAAGGCAATTATAGAAAGCTATCATCTCAAGTTGTCTAATGGTTTTCATACAATAATGATGTGAGAATTGAGTTGATGTTCAGAGTTTTTATGTTGTATGAAGTAAGTATGGCTAGACTTGTTAATGGTAGTAGCTAGATAGAAGGGGAAAGTGATAGGAATATTGAATCATGTGAAAATCTCATCATTATTACTTATTTTATTAAGTTAGTGTGATTACTTTATAGTTTGAATCGCCTTCAGATTTTTCAACCCAGTTTCCCCCAGTCAGTGATGTCAGTAATGAAGGGCTGACATGGAAAACGTGTTAAGTCGTTCAGATGGGACAATAATCCAAGACCCTGTGTGCTACAGACTGTGCAATTTTAAATATCCCTTGACATTGCATTACTTATTAGGTGCAGAAAAGTAGGATGTAAAACACCATTTCATTTATAGTTTGAATCACTCCTCCTAAGATTTGACTAGTCTACTCAGTATTTGGTAACTTGGTAACTTATTTCTTTATTTGTCACCACCTTATTAAGTCTACACTATTTTTTTTTCTATTGATACATAATGTCACAGGAAGCTAAAACTGTTTTAGTAGGCTCCTCTCAGTATTTGATTTAACATGTTGATTTAGTCATGCTCAAGGTGCTATTTTGTGTTTATTCACTATTCAAAGAATTAATTAAAAATGGAGAGCATGTAAAGACATCAGTGAAACATCATTTACAATGATTGACACCTCATTTGTCAACAATTATTTGAACACTTGACAATATTAAATTCAGAGACTAAATAGGGTCTCCTTTCTATGAGGCAAAAATCCTGTTGTCTTTGATTTTCTGAAATCAGTTAAGTTTTTATTACATCGCTTTCAACAGACTATAAACACATCAAATATGCGATATATTTAGCGGATATTATATCGGACCATTGGTATTTGGTTTATTTATTTAAAATTTGAGATTTTATACAAATTTCACTTGGGGTATTTGCCATGATATAATTACTGAAAATAGATTTTCAATTATTTCTGTTTAAGAAATGTAATTTTCTAAATTTATAAGAGCTGTTAAAACTAAATTTTAGTCATATAGATCACTTTTTAAATTCAATTTGGCATTCAGTTCTCATGTAATTAATCAAAAAGGTACAAAAACAGAATAGACTTTCACCTCTCCCAGGGATTTTTTTCTTATATATTCAATTATTACCAATGATGTCATATATTATCGGTGATATCTGTAAATGAAACGTCAATATCTCAATATAGTTGCTTCCACTTTGCTAAACTCTCAACTGGTATTCTTTCAGAATAAAAACTTTAGCTGTAACTATTCTTGTACGTTACTTTATAATTGAAGTTTTCCATAACATGCTTGAAAGTAAAAGTTAAAATAAGTGGAAGCTGCAGTATTGAAGATATGAAGCAGAACTGTCATTTACTGGGTTAAAGCCAGGAAAAACATCCATAGATTAAACTGTCAATCCAAATAACATGTATTTGACTTGTTAAAGGGATTAATAGTTTCAAATTCATTGTTTTCATCAGCTGATGGAAATCAATTTATCATTCTGTTTATATTTGAGTCATAACAATGGGAGATGTTATAACAACAGGGTTTACCACATCATTAATTCACAAGATTCACTAAAATACTAGCTTTAACCGCAAAGGAGTTGTGAGCAGATATTTAGAACATCTTTATGTGTAATTTATTATATTATCTATATTATTATTATTGGTTGTTCGCCTGGGTTCTGGGTTGTTCGTCTGGGTTCTGGGTTGTTTGTCTGGGTCCACATCGGTCAGGGTCTGTTCGTATCCAAGACATTTTAAATCCAACATTTATTCTACATTTTTCAATGTTCCTTAATCTAGAATAGATGTGAATGATTGCCAAGTGAAGCTTCATTATGGCCCAATTATAGGTAAATGTGAAAACTGTTGATGTATGTTACTGTTACCTAACTAACTGGTACAAAAATAAAACCCAAGAAAACAAATATGCATTGTCGATTACTGCATTATATTATCAAAATTATTTTAGAGCAATGGACCCCTGGTGAACATACATCAGGGCCAACTAACAGTAACCTACTGCAAACATGAATTAGGACAAAATATAAATGGGCGAATGGACCAAATTAATTTAGAACATTTATGACAATGACAGTTGAAATTACTATTTACTACAATGGGATGTTACTAAAAAATGATGAGTGTAAGCATAGTTATCTCATTTATCACATAGAGTTGCATGGCTAAAATTAGAAGATCACCTAGGTTGTAACTTATAATCTTACTATTCTTAATTCAAATTCTAAATGTAATATTAATGATATTTTAATGATGGAAATAGACACACTACGTTAAGTTGTTCATTGGTGCCTAATGGCTCATCGAGTTCAACTCTTGCTCTGAAACCTTCATAATTTCAATGCAATTTCTTTCTGTCATTAAAGAAACAGCATCAAGTAGACACGTTGACATTAGGACAATAATTAGGCTTCTTGTAGTTTAGATAGTGAGGTTTATAATGATTTATAGGCAGTTGGGCATTTTGTCATGGCAAAATTCTCTCATTGCACACCCCACAGAGTTGCTTTCTCCATTACCCATACCTGAAATGGAGAAGTAGGATGTAAAACTCCTTTCCATTCATGGGCAGTTGGGAAAAATGGCCAATGCACCTAGTGCCATGGCTGAAATTCTTTCATTGCACACCCCACAGAGTTGCTGTCTCCATTACCCATACCTGAAATAGAGAAGTAAGATGT